CCTGGCAGAAGAAGAAGTGTGGGAATAATATGGAAACTAACATATTTGGTAAGTTCTTTGACTGCACTCTAGAAGACGTTGGTTTTCAGGTGGCTTGAGCTCCCAACACGGTATTTATTTCATTGTCAACAGACCCAAACCCCCGTGTATCAGAAGATACATCTCACCTTGGCGACACACTATGATGACGTCATATTACCTACAGGTTTCCATAGCCTGCGCACTCAGCTTGTTATTAATTAACTAGTAGGGCTGAAGTTTTTAACCCTTTTTTTTTTTCTTTTAGATATTCTCCCTTAAATATATGGCAAGAACCTAACACAACCAAATCCCTTTCCCCTAACTTGTAAAAATTTTATTTAAAATAGGAAAAAAAATTTTTTTTTTTTTTTTCCAAGTACCATTAACAGAAACTGCGAAATACATCAACATACATCTGAGTATCAAATAGCGTAAAGGAAATAATCACCAATAACGTGTAATTTAGCGTCAAAATATCAGTGTGAAGCTTGACACTGTTTTGTCTTGATGATATCTGCTCGTTTTGGTCTGATGTTAGTCACTCTCCACATTAAGCTGGCAGTGCTGTTTTGTTTTCATGACTGTTGAAGCCGAATAATCCTGATTCACAAAAGTGTATGGAGGAACACGGCAATAGTTTACAAGTGTTCTTACTACTCCCGAAAGTCACACCGTCTCGTCGGCCGCGAGATTTTGTAGCGGCTTCCACGAACTGTCTGTCCTATGCTGTAGGGGTGTTATAATATGTCTTTCTTTGCCGTTAATTCACAGCGTGCGGAAAAGTGGCTCGGGTTTTTTCGCCGCAGTCGTCTCACTGTCTCCAAGACGAAAAAGCGCAGCTTTCTTTTCGCAAGTCTTTTTTCTGTGTGCGACTTTTGTTGTTTCTGGAATGTGTAGTTGTTGTGAGTAGGTCTCAGGCGCTGAAGGCGCCCGTGTGCAAATAAGAAGTACTGTAGGGGGAAGCACCGAAGGTGCGACGGTTCGTGAGTATCGAATTATTGATGTTTTTGTATTTGTACTCTCGCTGGCGGTGACTGTCGTCAGTGGTGGGTGTTTTTGTATTTGTACTCTCGCTGGCGGTGGCTGTCGTCAGTGGTGGGTGTTTTTGTATTTGTACTCTCGCTGGCGGTGGCTGTCGTCAGTGGTGGGTGTTTTTGTATTTGTACTCTCGCTGGCGGTGACTGTCGTCAGTGGTGGGTGTTTTTGTATTTGTACGCTCGCTGGCGGTGACTGTCGTCAGTGGTGGGTGTTTTTAAAACGCTGAAAACTAACACATGTCACCCCTCAACTATAGCAGTGTATCAGAAAATCCCCTACGAAATCTCGCAGCCGACGAAATGGGGTGACGTTTGTGAGTTTTACAAATTTTTCAAAATTATAATTAAACTGAGAAAACAAAATGTTAGTAAAACAGATGATCACAAGTACAAATGCACTCAATTTCATCACGGCTTTAGTCCCACCCCGCCCCCTGGAAACTTCTTTGCGCCCCGAGCCCGGAAAAAAGGGGTGGGGGGGGGGGCTAGGCTGAGAAGCCACTTTTGAAGATTAAAACGCTTATTTGTTGTGAAATCTGAAACTCGGCAGCCGGCCAATGACAATGATGTACTGAGGTACGTAATGGAAGGCAAAGCTTGGCCTGTGTGTGATGCAATGTGACATAAATGTCTGTGACCACCTTATTGTGACCTTCTTTGTTTCAAGGGGATTGCCTGGTGTTGTTACTATGGTTTATTTTATTGCATTAATTTTCCAAACTTTTTATTTAAGGGGTGAATCCCCCCCTCCTTCTCTCCCCCCCCCCCAAAGGCACGAGGACATTTGATTAAAGAAAGAAAGAAAGAAAGAAAGAAAGAAAGAAAGAAAGAAAGAAAGAAAGAAAGAAAGAAAGAAAGAAAGAAAGAAAGAAAGAAAGAAAGAAAGAAAGAAAGAAAGAAAGAAAGAAAGAAAGAAAGAAGGACATCCCATTAAAGAAAGAAAAACACTAGAGCATCCTATTAAAGAAAGACAAAAAGACATCCTATTTAAAAAAAAGACAAAAGGACATCCCATTAAAGAAAGACAAAAGGACATCCTATTAGAAAAAGAAAAAAAACCACATCCCATTAGAGAAACACAAACACCAGAAAATCCCATTAAATAAAGACAGAAGGACATCCCATTGAGTAAAGACAAAAGGACACCCCGTTAAAAAAATAAAAACACAAGAATATCTGTAAAATTGACAAAACGACATTCCATTAAAGAAAGACAAAAATCGATACAAATGACTTGAAAAAAAAGGAAAGAAAATAAACCTAAAAACTGAAACATTGGCCTGGGAACAACGAGACTTAAGTGTGGCGAAACGATTAGACCGATTGCGTCTCACTCGGTAGTTTCTGTGTTTGATTGTGAACTTTTTCTTCATTTCTGACCACCCTGGAGGATACTGCTGAATCCGCTGAGGTTTGTGCGAAACTGGACGTTCCGGCGTCTGCAGTTGATAGAGAGACCGAGCCACATGGAGGAAAACGTGGTGCTATGAAATCCATGCTCTTACTTGTCAACATCTTTGTAATGTTATGTTTTGTAATCAGAGTTACCCATTTACAGCAGTGGATACCTTAAATTAATTCATCGACATGTGTGATGCGAAAGAGACAACAAAAGAAGACATAACCCTACACGTAATGAATACAGGAAATAGTGAGAATTGTGGCACTTCATGTTCAAATGGGAGCTCATCGACGCCTGCACAGAGTTCTCGCCCAGGAAGACAGCGATGGAACATCATTGTTCGAGCTTTGAAAAACCTGAAGGCGAGAATTCACCAAGAACCAGCAGAAGTTGATGTTCCCTACATTGATGAGGCAGATGAAGGCCTGTCCAGTAGTTCCTCGGGGTCATCTCCTGAAGAGTTGTCCACCCCTGGAGTCATGACGCCCAAACAGTCAGTGGATCTGTCGGTGACCGAGGATGTGGCGACGGCAGATAATAGCGATACTGATGACGTGAAAAAAGGTCAGATTTGTTGCTAGTTGAATAGTTTGAAGTTACCATAACTGAGTTGTCTGTTGTTGGTAAGTTAAAGATTTGGATAATGATCTTCAGTTTGTTTGCTGTCGCTTAGTTGATTTGGTTGTTGTTGTTGTTGTTGTTGTTGTTGTTGTTGTTAGTGGTTGGTGATAAATGAGTTGTACGTTTGTGCTAAGCTAAAGATGTGGTTAATGATTTTCAGTTTGTTTGTTGTTGTTGTTTTTAGTGATGATAACTTAGTTGTTACTTGCCTACCTCGCCAAGGCGTCGCAAACCGGACTCACCACTTTTACGCAGGTCTTCTTTTGCCCTAAACAAAACGGCACTATTACCACAAAGTGTCTAATGCCGACACAGGGCTCTTGTTTGTAGTATTGGGGGTGCAGATCGACCTCCCCCCCCCCCCCATTTACAAATGTTCTACAATGCACTTGTTTAAGTGTGTAATATTGTGTTAAATAACAAATTCATCTAATAATATGATTCAGAGATTCGCCTGCATCAGGCGGCACTGTAAGTAGGCGGCAGAGGTCGTGAAATAAAAATACAACTTGAACTTTTGATCTGACAGCGCAAAGCTACTAGGGGTGGTATTTCGGTATACAGTAACATGGGAGGGGCAGGGCGCTGAGCAAGGAGCCTGAGCCTCCTTGAGAGAATTCACTTAGAGCTACCCCCCCCCCCCCCGAATCTGTGTTGAACGAATTAATTACAAGCAGATGATAAATACTCTTTTTGTGAGCAGTTCAAAAGTTGCCATAATTAGCCACAATTTTAAATGTGCCACACAGGCACTACTATTACTATGCATTACTATGTGTCCTAGGGTACTCGACCGTTGTTGTCCCTGAGGTGTCCTGGGGTACTCGACCCTTGTTGTCCCTGAGGTGTCCTGGAGTACTCGACCGTTGTTGTCCCTGAGGTGTCCTGGAGTACTCGACCGTTGTTGTCCCTGAGGTGTCCTGGAGTACTCGACCGTTGTTGTCCCTGAGGTGTCCTGGAGTACTCGACCGTTATTGTCCCTGAGGTGTCCTGGGGTACTCGACCGTTGTTGTCCCTGAGGTGTCCTGGAGTACTCGACCGTTGTTGTCCCTGAGGTGTCCTGGGGTACTCGACCGTTGTTGTCCCTGAGGTGTCCTGGAGTACTCGACCGTTGTTGTTTCTGAGGTGTCCTGGAGTACTCGACCGTTGTTGTCCCTGAGGTGTCCTGGAGTACTCGACCGTTGTTGTCCCTGAGGTGTCCTGGAGTACTCGACCGTTGTTGTCCCTGAGGTGTCCTGGAGTACTCGACCGTTGTTGTCCCTGAGGTGTCCTGGAGTACTCGACCGTTGTTGTCCCTGAGGTGTCCTGGAGTACTCGACCGTTGTTGTCCCTGAGGTGTCCTGGAGTACTCGACCGTTATTGTCCCTGATGTGTCCTGGGGTACTCGACCGTTGTTGTCCCTGAGGTGTCCTGGAGTACTCGACCGTTGTTGTCCCTGAGGTGTCCTGGGGTACTCGACCGTTGTTGTCCCTGAGGTGTCCTGGAGTACTCGACCGTTATTGTCCCTGATGTGTCCTGGGGTACTCGACCGTTGTTGTCCCTGAGGTGTCCTGGAGTACTCGACCGTTATTGTCCCTGATGTGTCCTGGGGTACTCGACCGTTGTTGTCCCTGAGGTGTTCTGGAGTACTCGACCGTTATTGTCCATGATGTGTCCTGGGGTACTCGACCGTTGTTGTCCCTGAGGTGTTCTGGGGTACTCGACTGTTGCCCCTGAGGTGACCGAAAGTTAGTGGAGGATGGAGGTTGCCCTTTATCTCCTGTTAGCCAACATTACCCGGATCCTTTATGAATTGGCAAAAAAATTTATTTATTAGTTGTGTGTGTCCTCGCTGGCGCGTGAGTGTGGGTGCAATGGTTAAAGTGTATTTTGATCTTTCTCTCTAAAAACGAAAACGATTTATTTTATTTCATTCAAAGAAAGAACTGGTGGTACCGGGAGCAGCTATCATGCAGGCGGGAATGTCAGGTCGCTGACGACAGGCAGACGGGAGGAAGTGTCGCTTCCTCACGCGGACGGCGGGTCTGTGTCGGGTTCTGGCTGCATGCCTGAGGCACTCAAGTAAGAAGTGTGCCTGATATAAGATTTGTTAACTTTCAGTCCAAAAACCACTTAGCTAATATCTGAGATAAACAGTAATGACGAAAGCAAACTCATGGTAGGATTGCTTCGTCAGGGACCAAAGTCCCAACCATTCTGAAAAATACACATCGTATTAGAGGTGTTAACTCTTTCAGTCCCAGTACACACACACCCACCAGGTGTCATTTGTTACTGCTCCAAAAATTCAAGCCATTGAATCATTTTTTTTACTTCTAATATTTGGCCACAACGTACTAAGAAAATCTGGTTCTTCCTGTCACTTCATTGTCTATTTGGCCTCTTCAAAAGCGAATAAGACATTTTCATAGCAAGCATCATCTCCTTCTCTTCCCAATTCTGCTAACAAAACCTCTTGTACTAAACGAGTTAAGTATCTCTGACTATATAAAAAAAAATCGGTCCTTGGCTAGGTTGTAGTGACAGGTTCTCGGAAAACCCTGGGATATGTTGCTTTCTCAGACAACCCACAGGTCCACCATAGGCGCCGGAGCCTGAGCATTCAGGTCCCGTGAATAGGGTTTTCTTTTGGGAGGTGGTGGAGGGGGACGAAGTGCAATAGTTTTGTAAGGGGACTATGAGACCCGCTTTAAGCATGTATTACATTTTATTGAAATGTATTTATTTAGAAATTTCATATTATTTCAAGTAAATCAGGCTCGCCGCCACGAAGAAAGAACTTGAGAGGGGGGGGGGTTTCAAACCCTTTCAACCCCCCCCCACACCCCCGTTAAGTACGAAAACGTTGCCCCCACCCCCCATTTTACTCATTTGGAAGGCAATTAAGCGGGGTAGGAGGTCAGGTCCTTGGGCGCCTTCACTTAAACAACATTTAGGGAAGGGGGGAGGGGAGGGAAACTGAGACTTCTGACCAAATACTTCTATAAATGGGCTTTTCAAAGGCTTTAGTCTAATTTTTGAGGGGGGATGGGGGGGGGGGGGGGGGCTTATCTAATCGTGCAGTCGTTACGGATGCCCTGGTGACACCCAGAGATGGCAGGGGATCTCGGAGCTGGTGACCCCTAGAGATGGCAGGGGATCTCGGAGCTGGTGACACCCAGAGATGGCAGGGGATCTCGGAGCTGGTGACCCCTAGAGATGGCAGGAGATCTCGGAGCTGATGACCCCAGAGATGACAGGGGATCTCAGAGCTGGTGACCCCAGAGATGGCAGAGGATCTCGGAGCTGGTGACCCCATAGATGGCAGGCGATCTCGGAGCTGGTGACCCCAGAGATGGCAGGCGATCTCGGAGCTGGTGACCCCAGAGATGGCAGGGGATCGCGGAGCTGGTGACCCCAGAGATGGCAGGGGATCTCGGAGCTGGTGACCCCATAGATAGCAGTGGATCTCAGAGCTGGTGATCCCAGAGATGACAGGAGATCTCGGAGCTGGTGATCCCAGAGATGGCAGGGGATCTCGGAGCTGGTGATCCCAGAGATGGCAGGGGATCTCGGAGCTGGTGACCCCATAGATGGCAGTGGATCTCGGAGCTGATGACCCCAGAGATGGCAGTGGATCTCGGAGCTGATGACCCCAGAGATGGCAGTGGATCTAGGAGCTGGTGGACCCAGAGATGGCAGGGGATCTCGGAGCTGGTGATCCCAGAGATGGCAGTGGATCTCGGAGCTGGTGACCCTATAGATGGCAGTGGATCTCGGAGCTGATGACCCCAGAGATGGCAGTGGATCTCGGAGCTGATGACCCCAGAGATGGCAGTGGATCTCGGAGCTGATGACCCCAGAGATGGCAGTGGATCTCGGAGCTGATGACCCCAGAGATGGCAGTGGATCTCGGAGCTGGTGACCCTATAGATGGCAGTGGATCTCGGAGCTGATGACACCAGAGATGGCAGTGGATCTCGGAACTGGTGGACCCAGAGATGGCAGTGGATCTCGGAGCTGATGATCCCAGAGATGGCAGTGGATCTCGGGGCTGGTGACCCTATAGATGGCAGTGGATCTCGGAGCTGATGACCCCAGAGATGGCAGTGGATCTCAGAGCTGGTGGACCCAGAGATGGCAGGGGATCTCGGAGCTGATGACCCCAGAGATGGCAGGGGATCTCGGAACTGATGACCCCAGAGATGGCAGGGGATCTCGGAACTGATGACCCCAGAGATGGCAGGGGAAAAGCAAAACGCAAGTCCTGAAATAGATTTAGTCCAGAAATGGACCAATAACCACAACCTTCCGTCGGAGTTTACAGCTAGTGAACGCAAACATACATAAATGGACAACTGAAAATATACATATGTTGATGAAGAAGGCTTGGTAGCAGGAAGGAAGGTCAGGGGCCGAACTCCAGGGGCGAGAGTGAGTTTCTTTCAGGCATGAAAGATGGAGAAGGAGGTGGTGGTTTCGAAAGCGGAAAGAAATCTTTGACCAGGCATGACTGTGTGTTACAGAAACGGTCTGGTGGTCATGTTGAGTGGCATCTACGGCATCCTACTGGTAGTGCTGGGTTTGGTGCTGCCTCTGTCGGAGATCTTTCTCGATTCTGATCATCCGTACTTCTTTGAGGTAATGTTGTTGTTATTGTTATTGTCGGGGATACTGCTATTGTCGGGGTTGTTGTTATTGTCGGGGTTGTTGTTATTGTCGTTGGGGTTATTGTTATGTTACTGTTTTTGTTGTGTCGTAAAGTTAACAGTTACAGTCGAGAGGACCGCCTTTATTGCACCACATGTTGTCGCATCCTGGCTCAGTTTCTCTTCACAGAACGATTAGCCACATTACGGCAGCGTCATACAAAGCACGAACTTCATAGCTCCAGCGACGACCCTTAGGATCTACATAGATATTGCATGTGACTGAACGTTGTTGTGGAATAGTTTTGCAGTAATATAACAGATTGGGCTCTCTGTTTTAGGAATAACAGAAACACGGCGCCATATACGAGTTCTGTAACTGTTTCATAAATGCAAAACAAACAGGGACTTGTGTGTTTAGTTTGCGCATCGGCCAGCGCACTGACTGCCAGACCGGTGGTAATAGGTTTAAATCTCACTGGAGTTGGTGGCGTTATTTCACAGACAGGGGCGCTGAGATCGGCCAGGACTAACTTTGGCATCGGGAGATCTTCTGGAAAACAATGGCCGCAGACGTGATGTTGCTTGAAATTATAATTATGATACAAAGATCAGCCGAAGAACCACCAAAAAACATGGAACACAAGTTGAAGGCATTCTAGGAAACAAAATTGCCTGAGAAAAATGCTGAACATAAAATGTGATGAAACAGTAGGACACTCACTAGTATCAAGAGTTATCATACGGAGAAGTTGACGCTGTATTGGACACAGCGTAAGAAGAGACGATAAGAAAACAACTAAACAGGCAATGAAATGGGAAATAGTTGAACTGAAGAAAAAAGGGCGTTCATAAGAAACCTTTAGGTGAATGTTGGTGAGAGAAACCAAAGAGACTGGACTGGATTCCATTCACGATATCGAAGTGATTGCACAGGTAAGATCGCAATAGAGGCATAGACTGCAAGCCCTTTGTGACATATAATGACATCATCATCATCATCAGGTGCCTTGCCGACTGGCATGGGCGATCATGCCTCTCCATAATCTGCGATATCCTGCAGCATATATCAGTTCGTCTGCCGACACACCTCCATGCCATGCAACAAGACTGTCAAGAATTTTCTCCCGCTGTCTTCCTCTATCCCTCCTTCCAAAGATATTTCCAGTGGTCACAACATGTTCTATTTTCCCTCTTCTCATAACATGGCCGAAAAATGATGACTGGCTCCTTCTGATGTCTGTGATAAGTTGTCTTCGGGCTCCCGCCTCTTTCAAAACCTCTTGGTTGCTCTTTTTGGCTGTCCAAGGTTTTCTAAGCATTCTTCTGTAAAACCACATCTCTGAGGCCTCTAAAAATTGTTTGGCATGCCTACTGATTGTCCAGGATTCACAGCCATATGTTAAAACTGGATGTATATAGCAAGCAAGAATTATTTTTCTAACTCTCAATGACAAGGATATATTGCATAAGATATTTTTCATTTTATAAAATGCAGTTTTTGCCTGTCCTATTCTGTTTCTTATCTCAGCTATGCATCTTCCATCTGATGTTATCCATGTGAACATATACTTAAATTTCTGTACGTGTCCTAAAATAACACCATTGACTTTTATTACACACTTAGGAATAATTCGTTTCTTGACATCATACGACAATCAATACAATGGATGAAATGAAGACAAGAAACACAATGAAATATGCAGTTTAAATGTTTGTGTGTTGCAATCTGAAAGATTGGTTGCATCAGAGACAAGGGTTGACAAAGTCAAACAAATGGTTGAGCTGACCGATGACGTGGAAGACAATTATCGGCGGAGCTTATCAAGAAAAAGAAGACTAATGATTCAGGAAAAAACTTGTTTAAATGCGAAATTGCCATGACGTTGCTAAGAATGACGAGGTGGTTAAGTTTAATTGAGTTGTTTCAAGAACAGACGTCACAGCGCTCAGATCATTTCCATAAGTGCTCAGTTCCCATCTTTAGCAGCTAACGCAGAGTTCCAATACCAATGGTAACAGAGCAGTCTGATTATATGTCCGTCTTGCCATTCCTCTGAACGTCGCGTATTGACCAGATCACCACGTATTCTATCTGTCTCATTCACCTGTGCCAATAGACAATCACCACGTATTCTACCTGTCTCATTCACCTGTGCAATTAGACCATCACCAGGTGTACTACGTATCTCATTCACCTTTACCAGAATACGATCACGAGGTGTTCTACCTATCTGACTCACCTGTGCAAATATGCGATCGCAATATGTTCTCCCTATATCAGTCACCTGTACCAATATATGATCACCAGGTGTTCTGCCATCCTCATTCACCTGTACCAATATACGATCACCAAGTGTTCTAACTATCTCAGTTACCTGTACCAATATACGATCACCAGGTGTTCTACCTATCTCATTCACCTGTACAAATATACTATCGCCAGGTGTTCTGCCATCCTCATTCACCTGTACCAATATTCGATCACCAAGTGTTCTACCTGTCTTATTCACCTGTACCAATATACGATCACCAAGTGTTCTAACTATCTTAGTCACCTGCACCAATATACGACCAGGTATTCTACCTGTCTTATTATTTCGTAAGCAGGTTGAGCTGGTATTTCCGTTCAAATCAATAACCGAGGAGCTTAAAGTCTGCAAGGTAAGACCAGCGATGACGCTGCGCGAGACTTCAGACTCCGAGCTTTGTCATTAGAACTACTTATGATGTGTTACACTCTAGCGTAAACATGGCCGAGTGGTATGCGAACACTGACCTGACATGTTTCCTATGCAGAGCTAAGCAGACACTCGAGCACGTATTGTCCGCGTGCAGAAAAGCCTTAGGCCAGGGACGATATAAATGGTGTCACAATAAAGTCCTGAAAGAGTTAACCGACATTTCGGGTGAAGCCAGGATGAGGACCAACGCAATGGCCAATCCCTCCCCCGCCCCCTCCCCCATGCTCTTACTCAAGGCTGGGCAGATCTCTAAAAGTAAAGTCAACAAGGTCGCATACGCTTCATCAATATTTGACTGTGCGAGGGACTGATTACTGGCGGCCGACCCGCCTGGTTTCGAAAAGTACACAGAATCAAATCAAAAGAGGAGACGAGACATGTCCCTGCACTCTACGGAAAAAAACAACAGTTCATCCGGATAAAGCTGACCGTGCCGTACGAGTCGCGGATAGAAGCAAATCACATGTGCAAGCTCGAAAAGTACGGTGAGTTGGTGGCCGGTCCGAGGAGAGATGAAGCATACTCAGAAAAAAATCTTCGTCGTCGAGGTGGGCGCAAGAGGACTCATCTCCACTACCACACACAATGTACTAAAGCACCTTGGCTTGCGAGGAAATGAATGGAAACGGTGACTAAAACAGATAGGCGAATCAGCAGAAAGAGCTTCGAGCTGGCTTTGAACAAAACGGAACGTCGTGGGGGATGGGCCTCGGTAGACTGGTCCGAGCCAAAGTAGCCAATAAATGGCTTTCAATGTCTCCTAGATAATTGACAAATGCTAATATCTGTCTGATGAACCAATCGTAAGCTTGTCACTCTGGTCGTGAAGGTAGGCGGCTTTATTTGCTACCGCAGCGACAGTATATAACACCACATCTCACAATACTTGTTGCGAAATCGCCATTTCGTCTTGTCCCTGTCCAAACGTCAGTTAAAGTGCAGCAGGGGAAGATTGAGGCCTAGCTTCATGAACCAGGTCGGCCCACCTTCCGAGACCGCCTGGAAAGTAAAAGGCCGAAACAATCGTCGAAGAGGACTCTTTCTACTGATGATCTGTGGACCCCTGTTGTGCATGCTCCCCTCTGGAGTTCTTCTTATCCCCAGGTGCCCTACCTGTACCTGTACTGTGTCAGTGCCTAACTTGCATGTACCAATATACGATCACCAGGTGTTCTACCTAACCCTATTACCTGTACCAAAATATGATAACCATGTGTTCTACCTAACTCACCACTTACCTCTACCAGTATGCGACCACCGGGTGTTTTATCTCCCACTTACCTGTACCAATATACGATAACCAGATATCCTACCTACCTTCCTTACCTGTACCAATATACGATAACCTGATACCCTACCTACCTTTCTTACCTGTACCAATATACGATAACTAGATACCCTACCTACCTTCCTTACCTGTACTAATTTACCATCCCCAGGTGTTCTATCTCTACCTGTACACTGTCAGCATGGTTTTCCTGGTCTACGTGTACACGTACCTGCTGCGAAAAGAGCGCCTGTTTATCCTCGGCTTGCCTAGAACCATCTCAAGGACACTGTCAAGAACCAAAAGCAGGTCATCCCTGGTAAGAGACCATTTGTCACATCTGCTCTGTGCCCAAAGTCAGTGCTTATTCCCTACTAAACCGGATTGCGCGGTGAGTGGGTGACGAACTCCTTGTGGTCCGGGTTCACTCCCGGTGGTAGGCAGAAAAGCCGCATTTCTCCCAGATTTACGGTATTTATCATGGCATCAAAGCCGAAAGGTTGCGATAGCCATAATACCGAGCCTAAGAGTTAACAACTCATGGCTTCTGGATACTAAAAAATAACATTCCCTACTAAATGCCTGATTCAGTCAACATCACGTCAACCGCCTTTGCTAGCTAGAATATTTCCTGGTACCCGTTTTAACTAGCAGTCCTGGAGTGAAGTTTAGCGCCAGTAGGACAACTCACTGAGCGATTAACACTCGTGGACGCAAAGTGCAAAGTTTCATTTTTTTTTCGGATTGATTCCCTCAGGTGCAGATGTCCGAACACCCGTTAAACCTTTAGTTTATATTGGGGCCCCCGACGATTACAAAGCAACCTTATGTCAAGTTTTACGTATGAGTTAAGCTTTCCATATAAGATAAGATGTACATATAAGTTAAATTTTACGCTTAAGTTAAGTTTAGTTTTACATATGTGTTGAGTTTAGTTTTACATATAAGTTAGGTTTTACATATTAAAAAAAAGAGAAAATAAAGGACCATGTTCCACGCCTTTTTAGGCGTATAGGGCATATTGGGCTAGACCTATATTTTATAGAACAACGGCACACGATGGGTGATGTGGTCAGCATCAAGCCGGCCGCCTCTACTTCCCGGGACTGCACCCGGTACCCACTCAAGGCTGGGTCGACCTGGGAGCCAAGGTCATTTTTTAAGAAAAGTCCGGCTTTGCCACGGAGCGACCCACGACCTTCCTATCCGGGGCGCGCGTCTAGCCGCTCTACCACGGCGACTCCCACGTTTTACATATAAGTTAAATTTAGTTTGACATATAAGTTAGGTTTCACATATAAGTTAAATTTTACAAATAAGTTAAGTTTAGAGTTTTACATATAAGTTACGTTTTACATATAAGTTAAGTTTAATTTTACATATAAGTTAAGTTTCACATATAAATTAAGTTTTATATCTAAGTTAAGTTTAGTTTTACATATAAGTTAAGTTTTACATATAAGTTACGTTTTACATATAAGTTAAGTTTTACATATAAGTTAAGTTTAGTTTTACATATAAGTCAAGTTTTACATATAAGTTACGTTTTACATATAAGTTAAGTTTAATTTCACATATAAGTTAAGTTTCACATATAAGTTAAGTTTTACATATAAGTCAAGTTCAGTTTTACATATAAGTTGCGTTTTACATATAAGTTAAGTTTAGTTTTACATATAAGTTACGTTTTACATATAAGTTAAGTTAAGTTTTACATATAAGTTAAGTTTAGTTTTACATATAAGTTACGTTTTACATATAAGTTAAGTTTAGTTTTACATATAAGTTACGTTTTACATTTAAGTTAAGTTTAGTTTTATATATAAGTTAAGATTTACATTTAAGGTTGGCTGGAAATTAGAGTAACATTATTCTTCTGTGTCCACGCCTCGAAGTGGAATCAATCACTTGACAATGGAGCTGGCAGGTCAGCAAACACTTCATTCAAGCACACATTTGTATTTTCCACATTTTTTTTTTTTAAAGCTTGGTCGCAGTCATTGACCTGTTCAGTACAAGTCCCCTCACAAACTCAGATTTGACTGGATCAGCGTGACGACTCAACTGTAACTTCAAATTCTATTACTATCTCAGTTTGATTCTTTAAAGACAAAAATGTGCATCTCCTATTCTTATTGTGATTCCTTGCACAATGTCGTCTGTCTGGAAGGGGGTAAATGAGACAACAGGTTCACAGTTATGTGTTATTCCTTCTGTCTGACAGGATTCTTGAAACACACGTTCGTTGATACTTTGCCAAACTCACCCAATTTACTGATCGTCTGCGCCAGCAAGTAGCTGCAATTCTGGTGGGGAACCTTCAGTGCTGGCACATCTGATAGCTGTTTTATGCATCTTAACTTTGCGCCTATTTTATGTCATTTCCGCTTGTGCAGGAACGGAGCTGTTATGGACGTGACCCAGATTGTAACCGGTCGGTAATGAAGCCTGCGTCTCGACTAACGATCACTCAAAGCGCTAAATCCTTGTTGCGAGAGCAAAATGTGTTTGAACATTATCGGGCAGATAATCACTGTGACGTATCATTAAAATAACACTTCATTATATTTTTATTATTACTACTTTTTAGATTAGGAATGTGTGTCCATTTGGTACATTGTAAATTGACACATAACAGTCATGAAAATGCAGTAAGGTTAACTTGGCCAAAAGTTGCAGTTAGTTGATTGTGACTTGGTGTCAATGAATTTGCTGTTTTCGACAGAGGTCTGGCAGGAGCTCGTCTTTCAGCGGGAAGAGTGATGCAGTGGGTAAGCCATTGGTGAGGTACAACAGCACCCTCAGCTCCATCTCCACGAAGAGGAGGAGGAAGATCGCCTTTAACCCAGAGATCAACACTCACACAGGCAGTTTCTACCTCAGGGTTGGGGTCGTTGGTAAGTATCCAGAGTATGATACGGAGCACATTTCTAACCTGGATCTTTCATCTTGGTCCTGTGACTAGCTCGCTTGCAAACAAAAAACGGTCGCCAGACGTGTGAACCTTCCATTGAGGCAGATGTTTTGAAAACTGAACTGGGCTCACGGTTGGGGGGGGGGGGGGGGGGGGGGGGGGGGGGGGGGGGGGGTGGGCGGGGGGGGGGGGGGGGGGGGGGGGGGGGGGAGAGGTTAAAAGCCTAAAGTTTAAAGTCGAGAGGGTTGAATTCATTGCATGAGGTTTTATTCCATGTGATTCTGTGTTTTCACAGAACAGCTAACCGCCTGCTCAAAGCATCGTGCAAAGAATGAAATCCCTAGCTCCGGCGACTGCCACTAGGGCTCTCCGTAAAATTGCACTTGTGAACCTAACGACAATTCCTCTCCCCCCCCCCCCCCCAAACCACCGACCCTCAATATTATATTGTGCTAAACCATATCTGGTGGCGAACTATACACTGTAACCAGCGACAATGTGATTTATACATTTCAGTGGAAATAATTCATTTCTTGTTTGTCTGCTTTATTTTGTGTTGACTGTAATGCAGTTAACGAGACACCGCCATAAAGTACGTTGTGAAACATATAATTTCTGTCCAGATTATTTATATTTACAACGGGTAAACATTGTTTTGAAAGTCGTGTTAGAACCTACAAATAATTTGCAGGCTGTAATGTTATAGTATGTCTTAAAATTCCTTAACAGGCGAGGGTCTGATTATATAGGAACATTTGTAGAAAGCTGCTTTATTGGGATTAGAACAAGAATCGCCATGCAAAAGGAAGCATTTTGTTGGGGAATAAGCTCACCATTTAAATTATGTCAGTTTGAGAGAGAGAGAGGGGGGGGGGGTGGAGGAAATATGAGAGAGAGAGGGAGAGAGAGGGTGGGGGAATAAGAGAGAGAGAGAGAGAGAGACCGGGAATTGAAGAGATAGGGGGTAGGGGATGGTAGAGACAGAGAAATGGAATGAGAGAGACAGAGAAATGGAATGAGAGAGACAGAGAAATGGAATGAGAGAGACAGAGAAATGGAGTGTGAGAGACAGAGAAATGGAGTGTGAGAGACAGAGAAATGGAATGAGAGAGACAGAGAAATGGAATGAGAGATACAGAGAAATGGAATGAGAAAAACAGAGAAAGGGAATGAGAGAGACAGAGAAATGGAATGAGAGAGACAGAGAAATGGAGTGTGAGAGACAGAGAAAGGGAATGAGCGAGACAGAGAAATGGAATGTGAGAGACAGAGAAATCAATGAGAGAGACAGAGAAATGGAATGAGAGAGAGACGGGAGCCTTAAATTATCCAGTTTGTACTTGTGTATGCAAGCAAGATATTGAATCTGTTAAGGAAACATGGATAGAATGAGTTCAAGAAAGGTGAAACAATACGAGAATTGTCCTGACAACCAGGTGTATCAACAGTATGAATTGAGCACAAACTGAGAGGGAACTAGCAGAGAATGACCAGACAGGCACTTCCATCCATGATGACAGAGGTCAAAGGTTATGGATCGAATTCCATCTATGATAAGAGAGGTCAAAGGTTATGGACTGGATTCCATCCATGATGAGAGAGGTCAAAGCTTATGGACCGGATTCCATCTATGATGAGAGAGGTTAAAAGTTATGGACTGGATTCCATCCATGATGAGACAGGTCAAAGGTTATGGACCGGATTCCATCTATGATGAGAGAGGTTAAAAGTTATGGACTGGATTCCATCCATGATGAGACAGGTCAAAGGTTATGGACCGGATTCCATCTATGATGAGAAAGGTCAAAGGTTATGGACCGGATTCCATCTATGATGAGAGAGGTCAAAGGTTATGGACCGGATTCCATCTATGATGAGAAAGGTCAAAGGTTATGGACCGGATTCCATCTATGATGAGAGAGGTCAAAGGTTATGGACCGGATTCCATCAATGATGAGAGAGGTCAAGGGTTATGGACCGGATTCTATCTATGATAAAAGAGGTCAAAGGTTATGGACTGGATTCCATCCATAATTTTGAATTAAACAAGTTGGGGGTATGGACTGCAACTCCCATGTAACCTATTCCGGTACAAGTGGACATTGAGATCATGTAGGCAGAGACAGGTTAATCCACGTAAAATTGTGGTCTCCAGACATGGCATCCCCATCGAGTGCTGGAGGTCTCGGGTTAGAACGCCAGTGAAGGCTGGGGGTTTTTCACGTGGATTTCTAGTAATTTCTCCTGGTCTCTGGGTAGTAGGACCAGACGCCTTGGTAGTTGGAAATCGAAAAAGAGTAGCCTAACGGCGCTGCTCGGACAAAATTCGCAGTTAAAAATCTACCCAAAATATTTCGGGATCCTCGCCGGTCAAACAGAGTTCGTGCACTGAGCTGAGATTTTTTAAACTCAGGCTTGAGTTAGAAGTAGAACGGATCACTTATGGGTTACACCCGTGTGCCATGATGTCGATCATTCGACTTAACCTAAACCTGAATTATCTTAATTGATGAAAACTGAGGTAATCTTCGTGTTTCCCATTTTAATCATGTCAATAGATATAGGGTAATCAGCTTAAATTGACTGATGTAAACTGAGGTAACCTTGGCGTTCCATTTCCCTTCCAGTGTTCGGTATTGGCAGTATGATCCACGGTGGTCTGATTTTCGGCCATTTCCTTGAAATCAAGCACTTGGCAAACCATTGCAGCAACGTTGTTCAAGCAGTGAAACCGTTCGCTCTTCTGTGCTTTACTTTCGTGCAAATGTATTTCATTTTCATGAATTCTAAGGTGAGTTGAAATTGATGTTACTACGCCAACAAGACAGTTACCATGGCAACACTGTGTAGTTTCCATGGCATCTAGTGTTAATATTAACATTATGGATTAGTTTTGTACAGTACGTCCTGTTTTCGTCAGAATTGAATGAAAATGCAGACGATTTGTTTGGTTCCGCGAGAAATGTAGTTGATTTTCCGGTCGGCCAATATCACCATCAAGCGTTTTGCCGACTGGCGTGGGCGATCATGCCTCTTCACAATCTGTGATCTTCAACATCATGTGCCAGTTCTTGTGCTGAAATCCCATCCCACCGATGAGAAAAGGCTGTCAAGAATCGTCTGTGGATGTCTTCCCGTGTCTCTCTTTCCACAGATCGTCCTAGTGGTTACATGTTCCAGTTTCCCTCTTGTCATAACATGATGAAAAAGTGATGAGTGTCAGATATTAAGTGTTCTTTGTTCACCATGACGACTACAGATGTGCATCCACAAATACAAGTGTCTGGCGCGCTTTGGACTGATGCACATGAGTTGCACCAACATCTGTGTCTGGCTGAGATCCATCGTCCTGGAGACCTTGCTGGTCATGAAAGTCCACAAGCGAGACACTGACAGCTCCCTCGACCACGGCAAGGAAGGCATCCCTACAGGTAGCCACCTAGGCAGTCGCTACCTGGGATCCACGCAGGCTCCAGGTGGCGACCTCAGAGGTGAGTCAAAAGAGGCTTTACGTAAGTGTTTGTATCACTGTCTAGCTCCTGTATTCTTCCTCTCTCTCTCTCTCTCTCTCTCTCTGTCTCTCTCGCACACTCTCTGTGTGTCTCTGTCGCTCTTTGTCATTTTTTCTCTCTCTCTCTCGCTGTCTCTCTCGCACACTCTCTGTGTGTCTCTGTCGCTCTCTGTCATTTTTTCTCTCTCTCTCTCTTTCTCTCTCTCTCTCTCGCTGTCTCTCTCTCTCTCTCTCGATCTCTCTCTCTCTCTCTCTTTCTCTTCTCTTCTCTCTCTTCTTTCTGTGTTTCTCTTCTTTCTTTCTCTTCTTTCTTCTCTCTCTTTCTTTCTCTCTCTTCTCTTCTTTCTCTTTCTCTCACACTCTTTCCTCTTCTTTCCTTCTCTCTATTTCTCTCTTCTCTTTCTCTCTCTTCTTCTCCTTCTTCTTTTTCTTTCTCTCTTCTTCTCTTTCTCCCTCTTCTCTCTCTCTCTTTCTCTCTTTCTCTCTTTCTTCTTCTTCTTCTTCTCTTCTTTCTTCTCGTTCTCTCTTCTTCTCTTTCCTCTTCTTCTTCTCTCTTTCTCTTCTCTTCTTCTTTCTCTTCTCTCTTCTATTCTTCTTTCTTTCTTCTTCTCTCTTTCTCTTCTTCCCTCTTCTTCTTCTCTCTCTTCTCTCTCGGTCTTTTTTTCTCTCTTTCTCTCTTCCCTTCTTCTTTTTTTTCTTCTTCTCTCTTTCTTTTTCTCCCTTTCTCTCTCTCTCTCTTCTCTCTCTCTCTCTCTCTTCTTCACTTCTCTTCTTCTTCTCTCTTCTTTTTCTTCTCTTTTTCTCTTCTTCTTCTTCTCTGTCTCTCTTCTCTCTCTCTCTCTCTTCTCTTCTTCTTCTTCTTCTTCTTCTTCTTCTTTTTCTTCTCTTTCTCTCTCTTTCCCTTCTCTTTCTTCTTCTCTTCTTCTCTCTCTTCTTCTTCTTCTTCTTCTTCTCTTCTTTCCTTCTTCTTTCTCTTCTCTCTTTTTTCTTCTTCTCTCTTCTTCTCTCTCTCTCTCTCTCTCTTCTTCTTCTTCTTCTTCTTCTCTTCTTCCTCTTTCTTTCTTTCTTCTCTCTTTCTTTTCTTTTTTCTCTTCTTCTCTTTCTCTCTCTTCTTCTCTCCTCTCTTTTCTTCTTCTTCTTTCTTTCTTCTTCTCTTCTTCTTCTCTCTTCTCTTCTCTTCTTCTTCTTCTTCTCTCTTCTTCTTCTTTTCTCCTTCTCACTTCCTTTCTTTCTTCTCTCTCTTTTCTTTCTTTCTTTTTCTCTCTTCTTCTTTTCTCTCTTTCTTCTTCTTTCTTCTTCTTCTCTTCTCTCTTCTTCTTCTTCTTCTTCTTCTTCTTTCTTCTTCTTCTCTCTTCTCTTCTCTCTCTTTCTTTCTCTCTTCTTCTTCTTCTTCTTTCTCTCTCTCTTCTTCTTCTCTCTTCTTCTTTTTCTTCTTTCTCTTTCTCTTCTTCTTCTCTCTCTCTTTCTTTCTTCTCTTCTTCTCTTCTCTTCTTCTTCTTCTTCTTCTTCTCTTCTTCTTCTCTCTTCTTCTCTCTCTTCTTTTCTTTTCTCTTCTTCTCTCTTCTTTCTTCTCTTCTTCTCTCTTCTTCTTCTCTTCTTCTCCCTCTTCTCTTTTTTTCTCTTTCTTCTCTTCTTTCTGTCTCTCTCTTTCTCTCTTCTTCTCTCTTCTTCTCTTCTTCTTCTCTTTCTCTTCTTCTTCTCTTCTTCTTCTTCTCTCTTCTCTTTCTTCTTCTCTCTCTTCTTTCTCTCTTCTCTTCTTCTCTTTCTTCTTCTTCTTCTTCTTCTTTTTTCTCTTCTTCTCTTTTCTTCTTCTTTCTCTCTTCTTTTCTTCTCTTCTTCTTTCTTCTTCTTCTTTTCTCTCTCTTCTTCTTCTTCTTCTTCTTTCTTTTCTCTTTCTTCTCTCTTCTTTCTCTTCTCTCTTCTCTCTCTTCTCTCTTTCTTTCTTCTTTTCTCTTCTTCTTCTTCTTCTTTCTTCTTCTTCTTCTCTCTCTCTCTCTTCTTCTCTCTTTCTCTTTCTTCTCTCTTTCTTTTTCTTCTTCTTCCTTTCTTCTTTTCTTCTTTCTTCTTCTCTTCTCTCTTCTCTCTTTTCTCTTCTCTTCTTCTCTTCTCTTCTTCTCTTCTTTTCTCTTTCTTCTTCTCTCTTCTCTTTCTTCTCTTTCTTCTCTCTTCTTCTTCTTCTTTCTCTCTCTCTTCTTCTTCTTCTTTTCTTCTTCTCTTTCTCTTCTTCTTCTTCTTCTTCTTCTTCTTCTTTTCTTCTTCTTCTTCTTTTCTTCTTGTCTCTCTTCTTCTTCTCTTCTTCTTCTTTCTTCTTCTTCTTTCTCTCTTCTTCTTCTTCTTCTTTCTTCTTCTCTTTCTTCTTCTTCTTCTCTTCTTCTTCTTCTTCTTCTTCTCTTCTTCTTCTTTCTCTCTTTTCTTCTTCTTCTTTCTTCTTTCTTCTTCTTCTTCTCTTCTTCTTCTTCTCTCTCTTTTTCTCTCTCTTCTTCTTCTTCTTTTCTCTCTTTCTTCTTCTTCTTCTTTCTTCTTCTTCTCTCTTCTCTCTTCTTCTCTCTCTTCTTCTCTTTCTCTTCTTCTTCTCTTTCTTCTCTTCTTCTTCCTCTCTTTCTTCTTCTTCTTCTTCTTTCTTTCTTCTTCTTCTTCTTTCTTCTTCTTCTCTCTCTCTCTTTCTCTTCTTCTTCTTCTTCTTCTTCTCTTTTCTCTTCTTCTTTTTCTCTTCTTCTCTTTTCTTTCTCTCTTTCTTTCTTCTTCTCTCTTTTCTCTTTTCTTCTTCTTCTTCTCTCTGTTCTTCTCTTTCTGTTCTCCCTTCTCTCTCTGTCTCTCTCTTCTCTCTTTTTCTTCTTTCTCTTTTTCTTCTTCTTCTTCTATCTTTTCTTCTCTCTCTTTCTCTTCTCCCTTCTCTCTCTCTCTTCTCTCTCTCTCTCTTTCTTCTCACACTTCTGTTCTTCTTCTCTCTTTCTTCTCTCTTTCTCTTTCTCCCTTCTCTTCTCTTATCTTCTTCGGTCTCTTTTCTCTCACTCTTCTTCTCTTCTCTTTTTCTTTCTCTCTTTCTCTCTTTCTTGTCTTCTCTTTCTCTGTCTCTTCTTCTCTCTCTTCTTCTTTTTTTCTCTCTCTTCTTCTTTCTTCTGTCTTCTTTTCTTCTCTTTCTTTTCTTCTTTTTTTCTGTCTCTGTCTCTTCTTCTCTCTCTTTCTCTTTCTCTTCTTTCTTTCTTCTTCTCTCTTTCCGTTTCTTCTTTTTCTTCTTCTCCTTCTTCTCTCTCTCTCTCTCTTCTCTTCTTCTCTTTCTCTTCACTCTTCCCTCTTATCTTTCCGTGTCTCTCTTTCTGTGTCTCCCTGTCTCTGTCTCTCTATCTCTCTCGGTCTCTTTCTCTTTTTCTCTATGTTCCTGTATCTTTCCGTGTCTCTCTTTCTGTGTCTCCCTGTCTCTGTCTCTCTATCTCTCTCGGTCTCTTTCTCTCACACTATGTCCCTGTATCTTTCCGTGTCTCTCTTTCTGTGTCTCCCTGTCTCTGTCTCACTATCTCTCTCGGTCTCTTTCTCTCACACTATGTCCCTGTATCTTTCCGTGTCTCTCTTTCTGTGTCTACCTGTCTCTGTCTCACTCCGTTTCTCTCGCTTTCTGTCTCTTTCTGTCTCTTTCTGTCTCTTTCTGACATGCTTCATTGATGAAATACAACTGCTGTGCAAAAGATGGAGGTTTGGAAGGGCCGAATGTAAGACAGGCCTGCGTGCCTAATTTGTAACCCTTTAAAAAAAAAGTTCGTTCGTTCGTTCTCTCTGTGTTTTTCGGTCTTTGTCGATGTATGTCTCTTTATATCTCTCTCTTTCTGTATGTCTCTCTCTCTCTCTTTTACTCTCTCCACAACTTTCTCTGTCTCTCTCTGTCACTGTCTCCACAACTTTCTCTTGTCTCTCTCTTTTACTCTCTCCACAACTTTCTCTGTCTCTCTCTTTTACTCTCTCCACAACTTTCTCTGTCTCTCTCTTTCTGTATGTCTCTCTGTCTCTCTCTTTTACTGTCTCCACAACTTTCTCTGTCTCTCTCTTTCTGCATGTCTCCCTGTCTCTCTCTTTCTGTATGTCTCTCTGTCTCTCTCTTTTACTGTCTCCACAACTTTCTCTGTCTCTCTCTTTTACTGTCTCCACAACTTTCTCTGTCTCTCTCTTTTACTGTCTCCACAACTTTCTCTGTCTCTCTCTTCTACTGTCTCCACAACTTTCTCTGTCTCTCTCTTTTACTCTCTCCACAACTTTCTCTGGTCTCTCTCTTTCGTTGTCTTGCCACCTCTCGCCTTCTCTGTCGTTGTCTTTGTCTATCTCTGCAAATGTGTCTGTCAGTCTGTCTGTCTATAACTGTTTCTGGTTATACAACTCTCTGCCTAAAGTCAGTCTCTGTCTATGTTTCTGTTTATGTCTGTATCTGTCTTTGTTGCTGTCTGTACTAGTCTATGTCTACGCCTGTCCCAGTCTATATTTTTCTCTGTCTAAGTCTGTCTCAGTCTGCGTCTGTATCGGTCTGCATCAGTCTCAGTCTACATCAGTATCTATCTACGTCAGTCTCAGTCTGCGCCAATCTCTGTCTACGTCGGTCTCAGTCTGCATTAGTCTCTGTCTACGTCGGTCTCAGTCTTCATTAGTCTCTGTCTACGTCAGTTTCAGTTTGCGTCAGTCTCTGTCTACGTCAGTTTCAGTTTGCGTCAGTCTCTGTCTACGTCAGTCTCAGTCTGCGTCTGAATCGGTCTATGTCATCTCAGTCTGCATCTAAATGGGACTACGTCGGTCTCTGCGTCAATCTCTGTCTGCGTCATCTGTCTACGCCAAACTCAGTCCAATATAAATTTATGCCGATTCTGTGTCTATCCCAGTCGGTATATGTATATATCGCACTGCACATGTTTATGCCGGCCTGTCAGTCTCTACGCATCTGTCTCACCTCCTCTCTCTCTCTCTCTCTCATTCTCTTTCTCTCTCTATTTGTGGCTATAAATGCCTCATTCCAGCTGTCTATATTAGTTCAAGTCAATTCAGTAGCGTCTTCGCAATGACGGCTGCCAGCTAGGGATCTGCAGTGATAACCTCTGTATTACTTGCGTGTATAATATCAGTTGTTTGATTCTGTGGAAAGTGAATGTTTTCTTCTTCCAGAGGACGAAAGTGAGTTTGTTTCCGAGCTTAGCTGTAACGTGGATGCCATGATGGGCAAAGTGGTAGAAAATTCTTCAGTCTACCTGTACCCGTGCACCATCGAGTACAGTCTGGTGTGTGCGTGTAAGTAATTGTCGTCTTGGAACAAACACAAGTCAGTTAGTTAGTCGACAGATTATTCTCATTGCACATCAAACCATTCAGTCCATAAGTGTTGAGATCCCCTCCTTAGTAAATCCTGCAGCCTGTTGCAGCTCACGACACCAGTTCTTGGTTGGTTTCTTGTTTTCTCTGTCTTCCTGCATGTTGCTCTTGTCTGGCCACACCCGTTTGAACATGCTCTTGCAGTCTGTTCAGGCTTGCAGATTTACTGTCATCACTTGGTTCTCGCAAACGTCTTACTTTTCGTAGATCATTTACAATATCTGTTTGGTCAGTGGCTCGTCCGCCCTCCACTGTAGCTTTACCTGCAAGCCTATCAGGTAGCTCATTTCCTTACACGCCTGCGTGACCTGGCCCAAATATGAAACTAAAATGTGTCAGCCACGACCGCTTTAGAGACTCGAACCACTGTCCTCACGGGCAGCCCGCAAATACAATGGTTGGTTTATGTCTGTGAGATGTAGTAGTGTGTCCATGTGAGCAGTAGTAATGTGTCCATGTGAGCAGTAGTAATGTGTCCATGTGAGCAGTAGTAATGTGTCCACGTGAGCAGTAGTATTGTGTCAACGTAAGCAGTAGTAATGTGTCCATGTAAGCAGTAGTAATGTGTCCGTGAGAGCAGTAGTAATGTGTCCGTGAGAGCAGTAGTAATGTGTCCGTGAGAGCAGTAGTAATGTGTCCATGTGAGCAGTAGTAATGTGTCCGTGAGAGCAGTAGTAATGTTTCCATGTGAGCAGTAGTAATGTGTCCACGTGAGCAGTAGTAATGTGTCCGTGAGAGCAGTAGTAATGTGTCCGTGAGAGCAGTAGTAATGTGTCCATGTGAGCAGTAGTAATGTGTCCGTGAGAGCAGTAGTAATGTTTCCATGTGAGCAGTAGTAATGTGTCCGTGAGAGCAGTAGTAATGTTTCCATGTGAGCAGTAGTAATGTGTCCGTGAGAGCAGTAGTAATGTTTCCATGTGAGCAGTAGTAATGTGTCCACGTGAGCAGTAGTAATGTGTCCATGTTAGCAGTAGTAATGTGTCCACTAGAGCAGTAGTAATGTCTTCATGTGATAAGTAGTAATGTGTTCATGTGAGCAGTAGTAATGTGTTCATGTGAGCAGTAGTAATGTGTCCATGTGAGCAGTAGTAATGTGTCCATGTGAGCAGTAGTAATGTGTTCATGTGAGCAGTAGTAATGTGTCCATGTGAGCAGTAGTAATGTGTCCATGTGAGCAGTAGTAATGTGTCCATGTGAGCAGTAGTAATGTGTTCATGTGAGCAGTAGCAATGTGTTCATGTAAGCAGTAGTAATGTGTCCATGTGAGCAGTAGTAATGTGTTCATGTGAGCAGTAGTAATGTGTCCACGTGAGCAGTAGTAATGTGTTCATGTGAGCAGTAGTAATGTGTCCACGTGAGCAGTAGTAATGTATTAACGTGAGCAGTAGTAATGTGTTTATGTGAGCAGTAGTAATGTGTTCATGTGAGCAGTAGTAATGTGTCCACGTGAGCAGTAGTAATGTGTCCACGTGAGCAGTAGTAATGTGTCCATGTGAGCAGTAGTAATGTGTCCATGTGAGCAGTAGTAATGTGTCCATGTGAGCAGTAGTAATGTGTCCATATGAGCAGTAGTAATGTGTCCATGTGAGCAGTAGTAATGTGTCCATATGAGCAGTAGTAATGTGTCAATGTGAGCATTATTATTGTATCTATGTGAACAATAGTAATATGTATATGTGAGCATTAGTAATGTGTATATATGAGCAGTAGTAATGTGTCTACGTGAGCAGTAGTAATGTGTATATGTGAGCGGTAGTAATGTGTCTACGTGAGCAGTAGTAATGTGTATATGTGAGCAGTAGTAATGTGTCCACGTGAGCAGTAGTAATGTGAATATGTGAGCGGTAGTAATGTGTCTACGTGAGCAGTAGTAATGTGTATATGTGAGCAGTAGTAATGTCTCCATGTTTGCAGTAGTAATGTGTCTATATGAGCAGTAGTAATGTGTCCATGTGAGCAGTAGTAATGTGTTCATGTGAGCAGTAGTAATGTCTCAATGTGTGCAGTAGTAATGTGTCCATGTGAGCAGTAGTAATGTGTCCATGTGAGCAGTAGTAATGTGTTCATGAGTGCAGTAGTAATGTGTTCATGTGAGCAGTAGTAATGTGTCCATGTGAGCAGTAGTAATGTGTCTATGTGAGCAGTAGTAATGTGTCCATGTGAGCAGTAGTAATGTGTGCATGTGAGCAGTAGTAGTGTATCCATGTGAGACGTAGTAATGTGTCCATGTGAGCAGTAGTAATGTGTTCATGTGAGCAGTAGTAGTGTATCCATGTGAGCAGTAGTAATGTCCCCATGTGAGACGTAGTAATGTGTCCATGTGAGCAGTAGTAATGTCCCCATGTGAGACGTAGTAATGTGTTCATGTGAGCAGTAGTAATGTGTCCATATGAGCAGTAGTAATGTGTCCATATGAGCAGTAGTAATGTGTCCATGTGAGCGGTAGTAATGTGTCCATATGAGCAGTAGTAATGTGTCAATGTGAGCATTATTATTGTATCTATGTGAACAATAGTAATGTGTATATGTGAGCATTTGTGACAATACGCGCGGTGACTTCAGAATATCTTTCCTCAACCTACTTTTATTTGTATGTATTTTGAAGTATACAGACAAATGGGGATTTGGATACATCCTTAATCTAAGTAGGCGAAATGAACAAGCATTTAATTTTCCTGGGATGTTGGCGATATCACACACTAAAACTGTTTCCCAGACGTTAAGTGTTAAGGTACAGAGATAAGACTGACCAAGCAGATTTACTGACTGGAGATTTGCACACCATCTGTTGGTGTCAGAAATGTTATCTCCTAGCCAGACTTTTAGGAGCAGCTAACTCCGGCTAATTGTGTTTAATTCCCCCTGAGGTTACCTAACTCGACGGCAGGTCCGACGGTCACTATTGACATGGTGAGCAGAAAGTGTTAACAGAAGGATTGACACCGTCTGATTTTATTGTGATGGCAGGTGAAGTAGCCAGAGGTGTGACTTGGCCTATTAGCTTTGACCAGCTTAATTGAACCAGGAGATCCTAGCGTGGGAATTTAAATAAGTGTTGTACAGCCCTGACTGACAGCGAATAAACTTACCTACAGGGGAGGAGCTGTGATACCCGTGAATGAAAAGGATTTTAGGCGTAATGTAGGAGGAGCTTGATAAAAGTTATAAAGTGGTGAACGCTAGGTCTGGTAAATGAGATCCTGTCTAGCACATGCCATCTGTTGGGCTTAACCTAAGCTTGAGACAGAACTTTTGGCATCGTGGTTTCATTTTTCCAGGTAAGATCGAAATTAGGTTCACATCTATATTTTATGATAGAGTTCTAACTGTCTTTTTACGCAAGTGTGTGTCTTCATCACTTTGTAGTACTCCTAGGCGGACATTTCTTCATTCTCGTAGGGCACTGTCACATTGCTTTATTTCCTATTTGATAGTGTCATGAATGTTTTTTCGTGCACATGTGTTTCAATGTTGTAAAACCTAAATGTTGTTGTTGCCATTGAAATTTAATGAACTATCATGTTTTTGAAATCACAAGCGTGAAGATAACTTTGGCAATCTTATCACGTGTGGTTAAAGTGAATCTGTATTACATACAGCTAACACACTGAATTGTGTTTAACTCTCGGGAGGCTAACGCGGAGATTGATCCCGGAGAGTAAATCCACGAGATTTGTTATTTGATTCGCCCCAGAGCTATTGTTAGCATTCTGGGCGCGTCGATTGTTCCAAGCATAGATTCCAGAACTGGTTCTGTCTGACTGATTGTCATTTTGAGTCTGTACGAGAGACGGCACCTGACGTAGAAGACTTGACTATCATTACAGGACGTGTAGAGGAAGGCAGAAGATGTAACAGTTGGAATGTGAGACATAAGCCCTTCCAAATTGGACAGGAGTGAATGTGAGCATGAGGGAGAGATGAAATGTTTATTTAAATAAACATGCTTGATGTTAGTATAATATACATGCTTAGTGTACATCTAGAGCAGATACTACAAATATGCGCTTGTTTCTTCATTCTCCAGTTCCCACATTGGGCAGGGACTAGTAGGCATCCATTATTTGCCGACCGTCGAGTGTAACGACCTGCAGAAAGCAGTGAGGACGACAAACTGGAAAAGATAGGCAGGGTCTCAAGCCGAGAACTGTCCAAAGGTTGTTACTTTCCAATACCTTTATGATTTCATCAACATCATCCCAACTCTACTAGCCTAAACAAGTTCATTTTATTTTAATTTCGATTTATTAAAATAAATCTTTTTGATGTCGTAACAACATTACTCGAGTAAATTGTGTACTTAGGTTCAAGTGTCTTTGTGCATATTAGTTTACTTCAGCTAACAAATATTTAAATCACTTGATGGGGGCTTTTAAGTAATGCCAGGAAAGGAGACCAGTCGCAGGGGTTAAATGAGCACCTGGATTATATCGCAGTGGGTGTATCCAGATATCTATCTATCCCTTCTCCTTCTCCTGTGGATACAAGTACAGCAACTTTCATTTCATGGAACGAGCCACTCGCTGTTTTCTTGGCTATCCAGGACTGTCTAGGATCAACATAGCTTAGATAATAGTCCAGTTTCTCACGTGGGTGGGCATTGTTAAGGTTCAAACCCACACCCTCACTATATCAGTGTATTTACCCACGTGGGCGCGCGACAGCATTAGTAATGTGTATATATGAGCAGTAGTAATGTGTCTACGTGAGCAGTAGTAATGTGTATATGTGAGCGGTAGTAATGTGTCTACGTGAGCAGTAGTAATGTGTATATGTTAGCAGTAGTAATGTGTCCACGTGAGCAGTAGTAATGTGTATATGTGAGCGGTAGTAATGTGTCTACGTGAGCAGTAGTAATGTGTATATGTGAGCAGTAGTAATGTCTCCATGTTTGCAGTAGTAATGTGTCTATGTGAGCA